TTTCAAAGGTCTTAGACATTATACATTTGTCTAATATGTCTTTGTATTCCCAGTGATGAACATGGTTGGTTCCTTCATACATAAATGTAGAAATAAATTCTCTACTCACCGAACAATTTATGGAAGCCCAGTGTCAGGTGCTAGGACACAGGCTGCTCATAATCACAGTCCCTAATCTCATGGACTTGACATTTTACTTGGAGATACAGATGAATAAGTAGGCAATCACAGTTTAGTAATTCTGTATCCAGAAGCATCTAACTCAGATTTGTCCGACTATAGGAAGACCTTCCTGAGGAATCAACAAAAGAGGCAAATGAGAAAGAATATGGCAGTATGTACAGAAACCTGAAAGCAACAAGAACACGACACGGTCCGGGAATGGGGAAAATGCTGTTAGGACAGAGCAAGGAATGCAATGGAAAGAAGGGAAAAGTGTGTTTGTGTATGTGTGTGTATATAAGAGACAGAGTGAGAGCAAGAGAGAGTGTGTGTGTGTGTATATGTGTGTCCGTGCACGCACATGATAGACTGACCCGTGTGGATTCACATTTTATAAAGTTTCCCTGCGGACACATTGGGGCGAAGCTGGAAACAGAAAGATAATGGGGAAGATCTGTTTACGAGGCTGCTGGAGTAATTCTGGCAAGAGCTGTCAGTAGAGATGAAAAAAACCTAATCAAAAAGAATTTAGGGCACAGAACTGAGAGGTAACCGACTGTAATTTGGAGGTAGGGTAAAGGAGAAAGGATAAAAAAAATGACCCAAATTTGGTTGAGGTAACTGGATAAATGGGAGTGTTTTTTTCAAATTCAAAAGTATTTATTCAAATAAAACTGAGAAAGAATAGGTTGGTATCTGGTTTGAACTTGAGGAATTTTACCCGTCTGTAGAAATTCCAAATGAAGATTTACGTTAAGCACAATTAGATACAGATGTGTAGCTTAAGACAGATCTGGGCTAGAGAAGACAGATTTGAGGTTATGAGCAACAACTGGGTAAGACTACTTAGGGGAAACAGACAGACAAGAGAAGGGGTGTAGGCCAGAAACTTAATGAATACTAATATTTAAGGGAGGAATAGAGGATTTGGATTTATGTGGGATGTGAAAGAATCAGCCCCTGAGAAGGCAGCCTGGCAAGAAAGACAGGTAACAGTCAATAATTGAGAATGTAAGTATGTCAGCCGTGGAACCAGAGTTCCAAGGGTCCAGTAGAAATGTGTAAGAGAAAAGCAAGCAATTACAGGGTGAATCAGAGACTGGAAGCAGGATGCCAATAAAAGTATACAGAAAAGGGAAGAGAAACTTCCAGAATGGCAGAGGAAGGACCTTTGAAAAGCTGATCCTCTATAAAAGCAACAAGAATACTTGCAAATATTGTCAAATGAAAAGACAATCTACCGAATGGGAGAAAATATCTGCAAATGATATGACCAATAAGAGGTTAATATTCAAAATGTATAAACAGCTCATAAAACTCAGCATCAAAAAAACAAACAATTCAATTAAAAAATGGGTAGAACAACTGAATAGACATTTTTCCAATGAGGAAATGCAGATGGCCAACAGGTACATCAAAAGATGCTCAACATCACTAATTAGGGAAATGCAAATCAAAACCACAATGAGATATCACCTTACTTCGTTCAGAATGGCTATCATCAAAAAGAACACAAATAACAAATGTTGGTGAGGATGTGGAGAAAAGGGAACCCTTACACACTGTTGGTGGGAATGTAAACTGGTGCAGCCACTGTGGAAAACAGTATAGGGGTTTCTCAAAAAAACTGAAAATAGAGCTACCATATGATCCACAATTCCACTCCTGGGTATGTATCTGAAAAAAATCCCAAAACACTAATTCAAAAAGATACATGAACCCTAATGTTCATAGCACATTATTCACAATTGCCAAGTTATGAAAGCAACCTAAGTGTCCATCAACAGATGAATGCATAAAATCTATACACACACACACAAACACAAACACACACACATACATATACACAACAGAACACTATTCAGTCATTAAAAGAAGACATTTTTCCATTTACAACATGGATGGATGGATTTGGAGGGTATTATGCTAAGTGAAATAAGTCAAGTAGAGAGGACAAATACTGTATGATATCACTTACATGTGGAATCTTAAAAAAATACAAGGCTAAAGACTCAGACATTTCTTCAAAGAAGACATACAGATCGCCAACAGGCACATGAGAAGATGCTCAACATCGCTAGTTATTAGAGAGACGCAAATCAAAACTACAATGAGGTATCACCTCACGCCAGTTAGAATGGCCATCATTAAAAAGTCTATACATAATAAATGCTGGAGAGAGTGTGGAGAAAAGGGTCTCCTACACTGCTGATGGGAATGTAAATTGGTGCAGCCACTATGGAAAACAGTATGGAGGTTCCCTAGAAAACTAAAAATAGAGTTAATATATGATCCAGCAATCCCACTCCTAGGTATATATCCAGAAAACATAAAAACTCTAATTCAAAAAGATTCACGCACCCCAATGTTCATAGCAGCACTATTTGCAACAGCCAAGACATGCAAACGACCTCAATGTCCATCAACAGATGATTGGATAAAGAAGTTGTGAGATACACACACACACACACACACAATGGCCTATTACTTGGCCATAAAAAGGAATGAAATAATAGCATTTGCAGCAATATGCATGGACCTAGAGATTATCACACTAAGCGAAGTAAGTCAGACAAAGACAAATATTATATGATATCATTTATATGTGAAACAATGATACAAATGAATTTATTTACAGAACAGAAATAGACTCACCAACATAGAAAACAAACTTATGGTTACCAAAGCGGAAAGGGGGTAGGAATAAATTAGGAATTTGGGATTAAAAGACACACAGTACTAAATAAAACAGAGAAACAACAAGGACCTACTGTATAGCACATGGAACTATACTCAATACTTTGCAATACCTAAAATGGAAATGAATCTGTAAAAGAATATATATATATGTATAACTGAATTACCTTGCTGAATACTTGATGTCTCTAATGAGAAGACCTAATTTTAAATATATCATTAGAGTCAATATATTCATTAAAA